TTTTTTTTTTTCGTATTTTTCTTCTTCTTCTTCTTCTTCTTCTCCTCCTTCTCCTCCTCTTCGTCTTCTTCTTCATCGATTGATTCGATTCCTCCTCGTCGTCTTCTCCTCCTCCTCCCTTCGTCATCATCTTCTTCTTCTTCTTCCTCTCCTCCTCCTCCTCGTTTTCTTCTTCTTCTTCTCCTCCTCTTCGTCTTCTTCTTCATCGCTTCCTCCTCGTTGTCTTCTCCTTCTCCTTTCGTCATCATCTTCTTCTTCTTCGTCTTCTCCTGTTCCTCCTCCTCCTCCTCCTCCTCCTCCTCCTTTAGTCATCATCATCTTCTTTTTCTTCTTCTCCTCCTCGTCGTCCTCTTCTTCTTCTTCCTCTCGCCATCTTCTTCTTCTCCTCGTTTTCCTCCTTATTTTGTCATCTTCTATTTCTTCTTCCCCTCCTCCTCCTCCTCTTCTTCTCCTCCTCCTCCTCGTCGTCTTCTTCCCTGTCGATGTCAGTGAGGGGGACAAGGACTCCGCAATTGTCGTGGTTGGATAAAAGCGGTTCTTCAGGGAGGTGGGGGTGGAAAAGATCACGGCCATCTGCACGGACTCTTTTGCGGGCAACACGAGTGCTGCGAGGATGTTGAGGGAGGACCCCGAGTTCAACGAGATCTATTGGCTGCCTTGCACCGCTCACTGCATGGACCTCCTCCTGCACGACATTTGCAAGGAGTGGGCGGCTGAGATCATCAGCAAAGCGAACAGAGAGGTGACCTTCTTCCGGGTTCACAGGTGGCCCAGATCGGCATTGAGAATTGCACTTGTCAAGTTCCCGGACTTGAAATGCAGCTGTCTCCTTCGACCGGCCCAAACGAGATTTGGGACGCACTACGTGATGCTGCAGCGGCTGGAGGTCTGCGAGAAGGCGATCAGACGCATTGTCACCGGGCAGGAGTGGGAGGCGCAGGTCTGGCGAGGGGACATCAGGGCCAAGGCCTTCTTCATGGAGGAAACAGTTCTTGACAGGGTCTTTTGGACCGATGTCAGGAAGCTGACTGCCGTCATGAAGGAGCCCTATAATGTGTTGCGAGAGGTGGACAAAGATGTCCACTGCTTGTCATGCATCTACGATATGGCGTGTCGGCTTCCCGGCTTCGTTCGATCGGCCCCCATCAGTGCAGAGCAGCGAGAGGACATCCTCAGGGACGTGGGGAACAGGACGGATATGCTGCTCAGCCCCATCCACGCTGTGGCTCGGCTCTTGGATCCTCAGTTGAGGGACATTACTGTTTTCAGTAATGTCGACCTCATGACACAGTTTGAGAGTGTGGTCGAGAGGCTCATCGGGAAGAAGGGGAGTACGAGATTCGATGACTGCATGGACCAGCTTTACGACTTCCAGTTCGGGCGAGGAGTCCTCGACACCCCTCAGGCAAAGAAACGGGCTGCGAAGGACAATGCGGTGCTATGGTGGGAGGCGCATGGGGTGGGGCATCCGGAGATTCGTGAGCTAGCCATCCGAGTGTTGTCGATATGGATGACTTCCTCTCCTGCTGAGAGGAACTGGAGCACTTGGGCTCTCGTGCAGACGAAGTGAAGGAACAAGCTGCACCACCAGCGCACCAACAAGTTGGTGTACTCGCACTGGAGCTTGAGGCTGAAGAGCAGGGGGGAAGACGGACCCACGATAGCAGGAGGGTGGCTGGGGCTCTCAGCTGACTTAGAGGACGAGGACCTGGAGGGTGACATGGCGAATGTCACCGAGGCCATTGACGACCACGAGCCTGCTATCGGGGGCGCCGGTTCTGCGGTGGGCAGCACCACTGTTCGCCATGATCGAGCCGGCCCATCAACATCGAGGTCCGTGCAGAGATTGGGGCATGCAGAGGAGGTCGACGAGGAGGAGGACGACGAGGACGAGGACGCCGAGGATGAGGACGAGGAGAAGGAGGAGGAGGAGGAGGAGGAACACATTCCAGGTGAGGAGTGGGTGGACGAGAGGTCAGACTCCGACAGGTCTTGGACGAGGAGAGAGGACGCCCCGGTGATTCCAGGGACGCGATGTGGATTGCGATCCCAGACTCAGCCTCGTGGAGAGGAGCGCCAGCCAGACGAGCAGCAGAGGAGGGAGCAGCAGCAGCAGGAGGAGGAGGAGGAGGAGGAGGAG